ATGTTATGTTACATTTTAAGATGTTTGGTTTTTAAAAATGCCAATGGCAAATGATTTATCAGTCTCCCCTGAACTAATGACATAGTATAATTTTAATACGTTATAGCTTACAGGAATTTTAGAGATTTTTTTTTCATTTGTCACATATGTAGAGACTGAATCTTAAAGAGATTAATTAATTTGTCAAAGATATCAAACAGGGTCAGCATCTAAGTTTCCTATCACCGTCTGGGCTTTTTATTCTGAAACATGGTGGCCTAGAGTAATATTTTCAGCTTCTAAATTTTATCCTGTTGAAAATAGAATGAATAAATATAAATGTATTCATGTATTATATCTACACTTAAATTTACACATATTGCAGTATTAATTTGGATTATATAGGACTTTGGCCGTCACCATTGCATACAAGATATATTTTGAACTGAGATAGATCCTACCTATAAGAATTTACTAATGTCAAAAAAGGCCCTTTTAAAAATGACTCTGGCACCTAGTCCAAGGACAATATTAAAGTGAGGCTCCAATATATACATCTTAATCTAAGTTATTACTGAATGTAAGTCATGTGATGACTTCTAATGAAAATTTCCCATTGAAAAAAATCAATGTTAATAACTGGAACTCGAGAGCTGTAATGGGTTCTATGTTTTTCTGGCTTAGATTGTGTTCCTATAATATGCTGAGAAGAGGAATTGATGACCTGTGAGCTATGGTCACTTCCTGATCCCATTTGATTCTTTGGTCTCTAGTTTTAAAAGGGTGATCCAGGAGGTTGCTTTTTAATGGAGAAGTTAAGCAAAAGAAGCAACAACCTGGAGGCTTGTTGGCACTGCCCAGCTCTCTCACTTGAGAAGCACTTCAGCAAAGAGGACTATTGCCAAGAGAGAGTCTTGCAAGGAAACTTTGTTCCAGAGAAGAGTTTTTTTTTTTTTTTTTTTAAAGAAGTTGCTATGAAAGCTGACCAGAGCTACTGCCTATGGATGACAATGGAATGACAAGTTTGGGGGCATTACTTATCTGGCAGAAATAGATTTCACTTAAGAACAAATTTCATATGTACATACAATCCAGGATGGCTGGTCAGGTCTACTGGCTGGAGTGGAAGAGAACATCTAGAAGATCCACATTAGAAATGGAACTACTGGGAGAGGGCAGAAGATTTTAGAAGTTGCAGAGATAATGAAAGGATGGTCTGTAATGAAAACTTCCACTTGTGTTGATGGTAGGTATTCTACAGCTAGGATCCTTAATTCAGGACTTCCCTCCCTAGTTGGTACCTATAGGTATGAAGCCTCCCTCAGATCAGATGGTATCACTGTGGGCATCATCTGACAGAGGAACATCCTGTAAATATACTGTGGAACCTCAGTACTTTATGACACGGTCTCATAGTGCTGTTTGCTCCAAAATCCTTGCACAACCCAACTAATTTTGCTATTATGTATAACAAGAAATAACATGCAATACATTCTCAACAATTTTTTTTTTCCCCTTTGGTGACGTTCAACATTAAGATAGTCAGGTGAACACTGTTGAGTCAAGGTGTTTTATATAGTCATTATCAATCTGAAGTCTTAAGGTCTTCTCTGCTTAGGGAATATCAAATCTATTTTATGACAGAAAAGCACAATGGACTCAATTATCCATGTGTTAGGACTTATTCCAGTCTTTAAAGAATAAGTAACAAGTAAAAGTACTTAAAGCCAACATTCCTCATCTACTTTATATTGTCAAATGCTTGAAAAGAGTGTTAAAAAAAGATTTAGAGAATTCCATGGCATGTCTTTATGGTAAATGTTACTTTATTTTCTGGTTCATCTAGCATACTTTTTAAAAGTTATTTTGTTTTTCTTTCACAAAAATGGAAAAATGTATTGATTTTACATTATGTGAGCACTTTATATAAAAGTTTCATAAAAGTTATGATTTTTGTATTTATAGAATGACAGGAACAGTATATAGATAACACATCATAGTAAATTGGCATTTATAAAATATTAGTTTTCTATGAACATCAAATCAGAGAGGAAGGTTTCATTTTTTTTGTTATAATAACAATTTGAATGCCATCTGCTCTTTCAAATTTTATTAAAATATATAGTGGAACTGGTGTTTTATAAGCTAATCCTTTCTGAAGAGTGTTTTTAGATTTTTCAAATACTACCTCAATTCTATATAGAATGTATATTTAAAAAAAGGCACCGTTTAAATTGAGTACTGTGTGTAGACTAGCAGAGGTTCAGGAAATATTAAATAAATATAAATTTGCCAAAGCAATCCATTGAAGGGTGATTTAAATCTGAATTTTGACATTGCTGGTACCAGATAAAAATGGTTATGCAGTGGGCGCCTGGGTGGCTCAGTCAGTTAAGCATCTGCCTTCGGCTCAGGTCATGATCCCAGAGTCCTGGGATGGAGCCCTGAGTTGGGCTGCCTGCTCCTCGGGGAGCCTGCTTCCCCCTCTCCTTCTGCTGCTCCCTCTGCTTGTGCGCTCTCTCTCGCTCACTCTCAAATAAATAAATAAAATCTTAAAAAATGGTTATGAAGTGATTAGAAGGGGACAAAGATCTTCAAATTAGTGGTTAAAAGAATGTGTACATGTATCACACAAGCGCACACATACCCCACTAAGGTTGGCCTCTGGCAACAATCTCCTACCCTGCTCCCTAAACAAATAACCAGGCATAACCTCTGCTCTTCTTCTTTTTTTTTTTTAAAGATTTATTCATTTATTCATTTATTTGAGGAAGAATGAGAGTACAAGCAGGGTGAGGGGCAGAGGGAGAAGCAGGCTCTCTGATGAGCAGGGAGCCCGATGCAGGGTAGATCCCTGGACTCTGGGATCATGACCTGAGCCGAAGGCAGATGCTTAACCGGTTGAGCCACCCAGGAGCTCCTTTGCTCTTTTAAATTATTACTCATCTTATTCTTCAGTGTAAAATTATCAGTAATGTTAATGTGTGTTGGCAGGGGCTTGAGATTTGCCCTGGACACCCCATATTTCTCTGGAAAGGGTTGATTCTTTTAGAGATTAACTGTGACCATTCAATTGATCTGAATGGTTCTAATGATTTTCAATTTGAAGATGTTTATTTGGAATGAATATGTGAGGTTCAATATGCAGGAGATCTTCTTTCTCAGTATCCTTTTTGGAATGATTGTTGGACTGTAGTTATATCTAGGGCTACATTTCTGCTTAGTAATCCATTGTTCAGAGAATAGGCTCTGAGGTCACTCTGTTTTGGCTCAAATCACAACAATGGTGGCTACAAATCATATGGATTGAGAATTGTGTGGCTTTTCTCTAAGCCTCTGTTTTCTTAGCTATGAAATGGTGATTTTTAAATTGCTTTGTTCATAGGGTTTCTGTATGAACTGAATGAGACAAGAAATATAAGGCATTTAGCAGAGTAAAATAATGTAGAATTTAAAAAATTTTCAAGAAATATTAGTGCTAATACTGTCATCTTGTGTCATCATTGTATTACACTTGAGCGTGGAGATGCAAGTACTTAAATGGGTAATTAAGTCCTCTTTCTTAATGTGGGAGAAAGGGAGAAGGAAAAGTTCTGGATGCCTAGATTGGCTTCCAAGTTTGCTAGAATTATGATTATGTAGCATTTTGAATACAGGGCTTATTCTGGAAATCATTAAATTTACTTTCCTTAGCTCCATATTTTGTCAATTGTGGAAAAATTGGGATTTGGGGTAATCTTTGAGTGAAGTTTCCTCTTGATAACTATTTGTTTGTTTATTTATTTATTTACTTATTTTAATGTATTTATTGCGGTGGGCAGAGGGAGAGGAAGAGAGAATCTCGAGCAGACTCCCCGCTTAGCAGGGAGCCCAACACAGGGCTTGATCCCAGGACCCTGAGATCATGACCTGAGCTGAGATCAAGTCAGATGCTCAACTGATTGAGCCATCCAGGTGCCCCTCTTGATGACTATTTAAATTGCAATCTTGTAATTTCCTAATTTGGGCAATGGAGGTGTTTACCATTTTATGCAGCATTACGTTGAAGTACATATTTATGCATATACAAAAATAAACAATTTTAGCAATTTACTTTTACATATAAAATATATATTATTATAGTATTGAACCTGTCATTCTGCAACTTGCTATTTTTGCTCACCTTTTAAATTTTGACATTTATCCATGTTGGTACATGTGGCTTAAGTTTATTCATTTTAGCTACTATATCGTTCAATTATATGAATAAATAACATCTATTTGGTGGACATTTAAGCATTTTAATTTTTCATTATTAACATCAGTGTCAAAGCAAGCATTCAAATATATTTTATATGTGAGATATCATATTTTATCTCTGTGTGTATATACATATATCTGATACTGGAATTGCAAATGTTTAGTGATTTCTATATATTCTCAATTTTAAGTATACAAGATTAGTTTTGTGTACATGATAAATCTATGTAAAGTTACTGATATAACTAGAATATAATTAAATTCAAAAATATTTTATGAAATACTTAGTTTAAACTTACATAAATGTGTTGAAAATTCATTTTTGTATGTGTGCATAGAGATGATGTGTATCAATTTACCTCAACAAATTATAAGTAGTGTCCATGTACAATTTTTTGCCTGACTGACTTCCAGTAGATATTTTGGTAATACTTTTTAAATATTCACAGGTTTTATGGCCTATTTTGCAGGCTGCTATTGAAAAATATCATTCGGATGAATGTTTGGAATATGAGGTTAAAGATGAGTGAGGTTTCATGTTAATCATCATTGTGAGAATCCCAAAAAGAGGCATGACTTTCAAATATATCTCCTTGTAAGAAGGATAATTTTTAAATACACATTGCATATTAGATATGGGATTTGAGTGTTAATACTTTTTTTTAAGGTTTTAATTTACTATACTTTTCATGCCCACCCCACTGATTACGCAGAGTTTAAAATGCAATGGCCAGAAGACAAGGAAGTGTTACTAGAAGAATGTGGACATGGACTCCGGAATTGCTAATGATGACTGTGATCCTTTGGGGTCAGCAAGGGAATGGACAAGGCCAAGGTAGGTGCAGGCATGTTTTAGTATTTTGAGGGCTGGATATGAGTTTCACTTTACTTTGAAATTATGTGGATCTTTATTTTTATTTTTTATGTGGATCTTTAGTCTGATGTTTTAAGCTATTTGTTTCAGTCTTTCTCCAAGGTTTTTGTTAAAGTTTTTGTTAAGTTGAGCTAGAATTAGGTGTGAGTTGGTGTATCAGATTTGAAGTCACTGCTTCAAAATTGGCTTCACTCTGTTGTGGTAGATGCTAGAGATACAGATATGTTTGTATGTGTGTGTGTAATTTTACAAGAACATATTACTTGAAGGTTTTATGTTTTTGAAGAGAAGCTTTTGGATCCCTGTTTCATTCCTTGAGTAGTTTTTATTTTAATTTTTTAAATTTCAAGAACATATTGTCTAAAGGGTGCGATGTTCTTCAGAAATTAAGTGAAAAATTTGACGTTTCTCATTGCTCTGCCAAGTGTGTTTGGAGGAAATTAATGGTAGACCCGAGTTGCAAGGTTGTGGTGTCCTGGAGTCTCATTTGCAGAGTAGGAAAGGACCAGAGACTTTGCAATAAGGTTTTTCAGTGTACTGATTTGATCAATAGCTGTATGGGGTGGTTTATGCCAAAGCTAGTATCAATGAAATGTGTTTTGCGAAAAGTGTTGTATTATTTTTGGAGGTGTGTTGCCTTTTCAGATACAAATTGCTATTTAATGTTTTATATGAAAAAAGTGCTGACCCATGGCATTTTATTTTTCCTTTGGAGGATAATCCATTTTGACATTGTTTCTGCTTTTTCAAGAGTTGAAAACTATGAACAGGAAAAGTATACGGGCAGGTACATTACTCTAGATGGAACTGAGAGTGTATAGTGGTGCTATCTAATTGTGATAGAGTTGTTGATCTTTTGCTAGTCCTTTGGTTTCCAAAATAGCCAATAAATATTGTGTATATTAAAGTAAACTTAGTAACTCTTTTGAAAAGATGGTTCAAAAAGAACATTGTTTGCTCACCATACGTAATTTTGTTTAATGAATTTTTGAAGTGAAATAGGATGATGTTTTTCAAAAACAAAAATGCATGTATCTTTCTGTGATAATATATACACACACACACACACATATATGCAGATAACAGATTTTAATGATGAAATAGGCTTTGATTTTTAAAGTTTTTCTTTCATGCCATTAAGAATTTATATTAGCCTATAGTTGAATTCTCATTTCATTTTTCTTTTTTGATAAAAATAACGGAAGGAAATCATATTTAATACATAGTATTTTTTTCACCAAAGATCTAAAACAAGAATCTGTAGGCAGCAGCTACATCACATTTCTGTTGGCTAAAAGAGTTGTTTATTCCTCTGGCAATATGTCAGATCACTAAAATGCAGCAGGACAACTGTTTTTCTGCAATAGTGATCCAACAGTACATTTAGTATTACACAAGATTGCCAAAACCCTTTCTGAGGCCATCATTTCCAGGGATTATGGCTTTTCTTAATGGGTAATAGTTTATTGGATATTTAAAATGGTAGAGGAAAAATAAATATCATCTCTTTGATTTGTCCAAGTCCTTTATTCTTTCTTCAATATTGATTGCTTGGATATTCTTTTCTTTGATAGTGACCAACATTTGTAAAGAACATTCCCTGAAATCAATTCCATGCTTAGCTATAGTGAAGCCTATGATGGTAAATGCAAGTTAAGTAATTTAGTTTCTTTTTTAAAGAATAAATTAAAATAGACAGTGATTCAAGGGACAAAACAACTTAATAGAAAGCATAATGGAATGCTTTAATTTTATGATTAAGGGAATTTTTACTTCCTTTAGGTAGCTAGATTGAATGAAGGGTTTCATAGGCATGATATGCAAATCTAATAATTTCAAGTACAACCCAAACAGCATATTATCATTTAGATCAATAATCCTCATTAAATATTAATTTTTTCAACTTTGGGCATTCAATTAAGCAGAATTTAAAGATAAAAGTTTTAAAATGAAAACTTTATATTACTACATATCTTTTTAAATAAAAATTTCATGGTACTTTACTATTTGTTGGAAAATAATACATTAAAATACATAAATGAAGTTTTCTTTACATTGTTTATAGCTTTGTCTTAAACTTTGATTATTGGGACTTCCAAAGTCCAGAGTTGTGATTATGTATCAATGTGTATGACTCTTAGAGCAAATATGCATGCAAAATGTAATGAAATTATTTTTACCTAAAGTTAAATTTTTTAGGGATGATAGCAAAGCTAAATTGTATTTTTTATATAAGCTCTCCATATTTATCAGTAGATTATATGCTAATTATTTGTAAGTCATTGGGAAATCTGGATGTTCTTCCCCATAAAAACCATGTTAGAAATAGTAATCAAGTTGTGGGAACGGAAGGCAAAAATCTACATATTCTAGAATGTACATAAAGCGTCATACTCAGTATTAATTCACCTACGTGCAACCACCACTTACAACAAACATGTTATAGGAAATGCATCCTGAATTCTAAGTAAAAATGTTGGCTGATGATCTCTCTAGGGGCATCATGGTCAAATAAGAAGAAAGGAACGGACAGTGGGCTGCAATCAGGTAGATGCCCCTTGTCAATTTTTTATATCACTCAAGAAAAGCATCTGCTTGAGTAATCTGTTTTCCTGACTTCTGACTTATGGAATAATAGATACATATCCTTAGGGTAGCATTCCCTGACTTGGACTCTGCCCATTTCTATGCTGCTTAGGTGGTTTGCACATTAGAAACTACCAACTAAATGAAAATAAAGCCAATCCTTTTTTTTTTTTTTAAATAAAGCCAATCCTTAAGATAAAGTGGAATATATATGATTTTTAAAAAGAAAATATTTATTATGCAAATAAAACAAGTAACATAATTGTTCAGTTGTTAAACTGTATTACCTTGGAATCATATTTAATTATACTAAGCCAGTCACCTGTGTTTTGTGTTTGTCACACATCTATTTTTTTTTTTTTTCTATAGAGATAGGGAAAAAAACTTTTAAAGGATGGATGGGTAGATGGGTGGGTGGAAGGATAGATAAAGAATTCTCTCTCCATCTCTATTTCATTCTCTCTCTCCTTTGAAATCTTTTCCCAGTGTGGCCCAAAAGCTTTATTTTTGTTTCCCTCATTTTTTGTTTCATTCAAGAAATTTAAGTGATTGTGTAATTCTGTCAGTAAATGAAGATAGTATACAACTTTGAGTGAAGGTTTATAGCTACAGCTTTTCAATTATAATTTCTCAGATCGTGTGATCTATGAATTTTAATATCTTGGTATCATTACTAGTGAGAAATAAGTAGGGAGAAAAAAGAGAAGTGATAGGAACAGGTATGAGAAATATATAAACTAGGGTATTCTGACACATGCTAATAATAATAAAATATAATGTAAATTAAAAAAATCAAACTGTGAAATTTTTATTAGGACTTTAACTACCAAAAAATAGAGTGGAGAGTGGCTGAGGGAGCTGGTTCCTTCTCCAAGCAGGCACTTAGCCTACTCCACTTAACTTTGTAGTCAGCCTCATAGCCATCTCATGGTATGAAGTGTTAACATTGTGCTTTTAATACAACTTAAGTTTTTTGTGCACAAACTAAAGAACAAACAGACTAAAGAGCCTAGACACTGGAGTCAAGAAATTCAGAATAGTCACATGGGTGAGACTGTATGTCCTGGTCTTCTGCAGAAATTACTGCTTACTCTTAATTCTTTTTATTTCTTTCTACTTCTTCTTCAACCTATAATGCCATACAAACCTCAGCATAAAGACACCCTTGAGAATCACTTCTCTGTCACTTACTATGTTTCCTTTAAAAAGCTCATGAATTACACATGATTTTCTAAGTTGCCAACTTAGATTTCAGGAGACTTCAAAAAATATTAATCTGGCACCTTTCCATTATGAAGGCTGTACACACTGTTCACAAGCTTGGTCTTGTCTTTAAGGGACATGTGCCTCATCCAACAACTTTCTTCCCTAAATCATCAAAATCTTGTCTAAAGGCTTTTTCTCAAAAGTTAGGAAGCACTGAGATTTCTATTTGGTCATGTCACATGGTGATCTGTTTATCAACTATAGCTTTATCAAAGGATAAACTGTTTTTGGTTTTTATTGTTAATTGTGTGTGACAGAATAATTTGCTGCAATGTATATTATGCTTTGTTCTTACGATGACTTTTTTAACTTATTTTTCCTGTAGTAACTTCTGATGCTCCTTTGTTAGCTCTTCCTTTCTCTTTTTTCTTCAGCTGGCTATCTTCCTTTTGTCCCTTAACTCAGATGTCCCCTGCTTTGTCTCTGCACAGATTCCACATTATTATTTTGATGTTGTTTTCTGTAGTTTTCAAAGGTCACCATACACAACCCTATCAATATTTCTCAATATGCGCTGTAATTGTTCATTTGTGTCTTTTCTTTATTTCTGTGCTCCTTGATGGCTCAAACTATATATCCATCCACTCAACAAAAGTTTATAAAATTTTTACCTTGAGACAGGAACTATTCTGGATGCTAGCAATAAAGTAGTTAAGAAAATTGACAAACAGTCCTGCCATCATGGAGCTTGCGTTCTAACTGGGGGAGACCGATGACAGACAATGAGCAACATATATATGTAAAGAATGGCAGGGTTGATGGTGAAAAATAATGCTGTAATGGGGAACAGAGAATTCTAAGATGACAGATTTTAATTGGATAGTCTGGAATGACCTCACAGAGAAGATGGCAATTGAAAGCCCAAGGTAGTTAGGGCCTAAGCCACACAGAGACTTGGGGCAAGACCGTTCCTTGCAAGGGTGTAGTTAGTGGGTAAATCTTGAACAAGATCATGCCTAGTGTTTGTAGGAACAGCCAAGAAACTAATGTGGCTGGAGCAAAGCACATGTGGCGGTGGGGGCCGGTGGTAGAAGATCTGAGAGATAACAGAACAGAAAGGAAGGGATGGAGACTACGTAGAGTCTTACTTGCTATTTTAATGACTTTGG